CTTTTGCGTTGTTGTACCTTTGTTGTTGCAAGCACTACATTGGTTGAACTTATTAAACCTATGTCTATCTCCTTAGAAGTAGAAACTAACAAACAAAAACAAAAAAATATATATAGTGTGCCTAAGTCGTTATTAATTTTATGTATTACAGCTTCTTGGTGTATTTGTTGGATAAACAACAGCAGTAAAAACTAAACTAACAAAGAAATGACATAGAAAAACATCATCGATACCGGTTTATGAATTCGGATTTTTTAAGTTTTCATTTTCTTTTTCTTTTTTGGTACGTTTTCTTAGATTACCTTTGTTAACTATTGATATTGAGCTTTTTACATGGCGTTTACTTTCCGATGGTATCGTAGAAGTAGGAAGAGCTGAAAGATACCAATTCACGTTTTTTTTTTCTCACGTGCATACACTAAATATATGAGGCGCAATTTCAGAATCCTTTTTGAAATATTGACTGAAGCGCAAATGTGGTAGACAGTCGGTAAAGCAACTTTTGCTTTTTTTCCGAAAAGAGAAATAGCTTTGTAGCTTTTAGTTGACACTGATAAATATATAACAATTCGCAAAAATAAACGAAGTACATAAAATAAAAGGATAATTAAACCATAAGAAATGATGAACCAGAAATTTATAATTTTGCGGCCGAAACTTCAGCATTCATATCAGCTCACGCATGAGTGCTCCATAAGTAATTTACACAATGAAATCTAGAAACCTTTTCATGTAATTCTTGCGCGCTTATTGGTTTTTGAAACAACTTTATGATGATTGTGGTTTTGAATAAAAAAGAAACATAAAAACCATTAAACGAAAAAAAGTTTCAAACCTGTTTGGGTGACATTGATGATGTGTTCATCATAACCAAGTAGATTTTCTGCCTTACATTTGTACAACCCATAGCTGCCTGCATCAATGGTTTCTAGTTCCAAGACACTACCACCAGTAACATTATGGGATCCTGTGGCTATTGATCGATTAGGTGTATCATACCACGTGAACAGAGGAGAGGGCACTCCATGGGCCAAACAGTATATCCTGACTGTACCATCATTATATGAAGAAACTGTGTCATTTGACTGGACTGCATCTATTTCTGGTTTGTCTGCGAAGAGAAGAAAATGAAATATTCTTCCAATATATACCTTTTGATATATGTTCAGAAGGTATTGGCTCAATTTGTGAGTCACATCTTGTTCTCTTTAAATGGCTGTTTGAAGAAAACGTTTAAAATGAGATAATAATAGGAATACATTTAGATTGATATATGGCTAGCTTTTTATCGTTTGATTGGTCATTGGATATTTGACGTTTGTACCACCATATGAAGAAACTGTGCCAACTGCATCTATTTCTGTTTGTTTATGAAAAAAGGAAATGATTCTTCCAATACCTTCTAATATACGTTTGCTCAATTTGTGAGTTCAATTTATTGTTTATTAGTTTTTATTTTTTTACAGTTACTAAACAAAAACGTTTTTAGAAGAAAAAAATGTTAGGTACACTTGCAGATCGTCTGAATGATCATTGCGTACTAGTTTGACGTCTTTCTTTCTTTTTGTTTCTATATTTTTTGTCTGTCTGTCTAACTGCATTTTCAGCTAAAGTGTTTAGGTAATAAGGTTTGCTTAATAATTTCAAGATCCATTAGCGTAACCCAAACATCGGCATACAATTTCGTATTAGCAAATAACAAAAGAACCAGCTATACAATGAAATCCAGAGGTTGAGAAAATAATCAATGTACTAAACTCACACTGGACAGATATTGTGGTAC